GAGACAGAAAGCGAGAAATCACCTCCCAGGGGGGATGGTCACGCCGCAATCCCTTCTCCTCCATTCTCCTCTTGGGATCTTGGTCACGCACGCACACGCGCCCAGCTTGAATTTCAAGCCACCAGGTCTGGGACTCTAACCACGGTCGACTACGTGGGAGTCCAGCAACACGGCCATTACGCTAACCGCTGGTCCCTTTCCAAATTCCTAAGCTTACGACTCTCCTCCCTGAGATCTCTGTCCCCTGCTCCTTCCCGCAGGACCCCATCTTAGCCAAGGAGACTCTGGATTCCGGGAACAGAAACCCATTCACACCAACCCGAATATTACCGAGGCTATTGAGAGGGAGGACTTGTGGAAACCCAGGCAGTGCTTCGGGAAGGACAGGGAGGGGGGCAGCCCTGGGGCCTGCAGCTGCAGACGTTCATGGGTGCTTGGCCAGGAGTCCCCATGACTGAGCTCGGCCCTGGAAGGAAAGCACCACTCACTGACAAGGTGGTCCAGGGCCAAAGTCTGTGGAGGAGCACCAGCCCTTGGGCCCTCTTGGGAGTGTCCACCCTGTCCCAGCTGACGAGGGCTCAGGGTGCGTGCCCGTCTCGTCACTCTCACGAAACATCTCCCCGTCCCTTTCCACCCACTCTCCTGCTCCAAAGGTCCCACCTGTTTCCCAGGCCAGCGTGTGGCCCTGGTTGGTGGCAGCTGTCCTTGGTCAGACTGCCTGGGGACGTGCTGTACATGAGCGGCCTCCACGCAGGCTGGTGTGGCCCACGGCAGTAACCGGCTGGCCAGAGCTGGTTCTGCAGCTGCTGGCTCGGGCGCACGGAGGGCTGGGGACACAGGTCAGGCGGAGGTGTTGGGAGTGGTGAGGACCTCTCAGGGCCTCTTCCCCAAGCAGACTGGTTGAGGAGGAGGAGACAGGACAGGAATCTAGTGGCGCAGGTCAGGGGTGGCAAACAGATCCCTGGGTAGTGAGCTGGGAGCAAAGCGGGGTTGCACCTCCCCAGAGCGGTTTCAGAGGTCTCCCACCACCTTGTGCGGGCAGATCCCATGGCCCACAGGTCTCCCTGCTGGGCTTCTCCACAGACCTGACTCCACCACCAGTTCCTTTCCTCACAACCTTTTTTGGGCTGTCAACACTTTTTTTTTTAAAGAATTATTTTATTTAACTTTTATTTACCCATTTATTTATTTATTTAAATTTGACCAGAGATGGACAGTGAGAGAGAGAGAAAGTGAGAAAGCAAGCCGCCAGGTCTGGGACTCAAACCGCAGTCGGCCATGTGGGAATCCGGCACCCCAACCGCCACGCCACCTGCTGGCCCTGTCGGACAGTTTTTCTGCCTCTCTTCCAATATCCCTAAATGAGCCACCTGTCTTCCCCCTCCCCCCCATTGGTTCCATTATTTCCTTCTTAGACTTCTGATTCTAGTCTTCTTCCGAAAAGTGGAACACAGCATGAGATCAGGTGTGGCCTCTGTCCCTCCGTCCCCTCACCTAACTCTTCCAGGAGACTTCCCCGGATGGTACACTGGGCTGTTAAGGGTCTTTGCTTCACGAGGCTTGTTACGGGAGTAAATGCATTCACATGTAAACTGCCTACTACGGCCCGGCAAGCACTCAGTACTCACCGAGGGCCCGCTGCTGATACGTTCCTGCTCACGGCGTCCCTGGGAAAGTGGCTCCCCTCCCCACACTCCAGCTGTCTCCTCTAGACAGACGACCTCCAAGTGAGAGGTCCAGATTAAAAAAAAATTTTTTAAAGGGATTATTTTATCTAACTTTATTTAAACCTGACCCGTTAGTTTAACAGTTACTGTCCATTATAAGACAAGTAGAGGGTGGAGGGTTATGCCAGACAAGAGCTAGACGAGACACGTGTCATGTACAGACATGCTGACTGTCCACGGGGGGTGGGGGGCAGCGCCCTGGAGCACGCATTCACAGTGGAGGACAGACACTTCCTGGCTAGCACGAACACTGACAAGGAACAACTCTTACGACTGTGGAAGCTCCTCAGGGCAGGTGACGACTGTCCCGGGTATTGATGAAAGAGGGGGAGACGCCAGGCAGAGGGGATGCCAGGCAGAGGGAGGGAGTTGTTGGAGTGTGAACCAACATGGGGAGGGGTCAGTGGAATGGGGGCCAAGACCATTTCCCCCCATTTTCTTAAACGGAAAATTGCACACATACACGGAAATAGAGGACAGAGTATAAAATCCCCGCCACGCACCCCCACTTAGCTTCACCATGGTCACTCAGGGGCCACTCTTGGCTGTATTTGTATCCTTACCTAGTAAACCCCTGTTCCATTATTTTAAGGCAAATCTCAGACATTGAATGATTTAATTCATAGGTACTTCAATATCTTTTTTTTTTTTTTTGAAGAGGTTTTTGCTATAGGGCGCGTGTGCTCTCCAGAAAGACAGAAAGAGACATAGAGACAGAAAGCGAGAAATCACCCCCCATGGTGGATGGTCACGTCGCAATCCCTTCTCCTCCATTCTCCTCTCGGGATCTTGGGCATGCACGCACACGCACCCGGCATGAGTTTAAGCCACCGGGTCTGGGACGCGAACCGTGGTCGACTACATGGGAGTCCAGCGACATAGCCATTATGCTAACTGCTGGTCCCAGGTACTTCAATATCTTGAAAAGATAAAGTATACCCATTCTTACTTTCTAAAAATGATATAAGCCAGGAGCAGGGGTGCACACCCATAATCCCAGCTACTCAGGAGGCCGAGTCAGGAGGACCCTGAGGAATACAGCAAGACTTTGTCTCACAAACGAGAATGACAACAAATCCTAGTGTGCTCTAAGGCTGCACCCCGTTCGATTCGTATCCTAGCTAGCTATCTGGCAACTGCCCTGTACCAGGATATACACTGGGTTGTCCGGAAAGTTGTGACGCATTTTCGCATAAACAGAAAATACATCATCTTTCTTGGTGACCTAATAGAATTGCTTTTCCTTTTCTAGAGGCCACCTCGGATTCCTTTTGTGAATTAACTACAGTTAACCTAGCCAGTCTCCCAACCGATGGGCATTTACACTATTCTGAATTTATTTTTCTTTTCTTTTCTCTTTTTAAACTTTGCCAGAGAGCACATGCGCTTGTCTCAAGGAGAGGAAACGTGAGAAAGCATCCTTCGTGGGAGAATGGGCGTACCACAATCTCTTCCCCTCCACTCCTCCTCCTGTTGGGATTTTGGGCATGTAGGTACATGCACTCAGAATGTTTTTCAAGTTGCTGTGTCTGGAACTCAAACAGTGCAGTTGGCCATGTAGGAGTCAGTCACCTGAACCACCACACCATGGGCTGGCCTCCAATTTCTTAGTATCAAAACAAAGCTGAGCGAATACCCTCGGATCTACATCTCTGTCTACCTGTGGGGCATATCCGTAGGCACATTCCGGGATGTGCAATTGCTGGGATCTTCCACACGCAGATTCTGACAGGTGCTCTCTTTCACTCAAGAGGCATTTTGGATGATATGACAAAGGTGCTTTCTCTCTGTTGCCTGATTTTTTGACAGGTTGGAGTCCTCTTTGTTCTTTTCTCCATGTAATCAGTGATATGTCCTACCAACTTAACTCTCCCCAACCCATCCACTTTCCTTATTTCTTCTTTATTTGGAGAGGTTTTTGCTATAGGGCGCATGCGCTTGCCAGAAAGAGTGAGACAGAGAGACAGAAAGCGAGAAATCACCCCCCCTCCCCGAGGGGATAGTCACGCTGCAATTCCTTCTCTCTGTCCTTCTCTCGGGATCTTGGGCATACATGCACACGTGCCTGGTGTGAGTCTAAGCCACCGGGTCTGGGACTCGAACCATGGTCGACTACATGGGAGTTCAGTGACAGCCATTATGCCAACTGCTGGTCCCTCCTCATTTCTTTTCTTTTCTTTTTTTTTTTTTATAGACCACAGATTAGTTTATTTTTAACACCCATCATGCCATGAATTCATAGGGAAGAGGTTCCAGTAGCTCAGGCTCCTTTCCATTGGTTCTCACAGTGTACTTCTCTGGGTGGAGCAGGCTGGCGCTTTAGTTGAACCCAGGTACCTTTCTCTTTGGCTTCTTTCTTTTTCTG